TTGTGTTTTTTATTTTGCTGAATGAATTCTTCAGTTCGGCAAGCTCTGCTACATTTTTTTTTCAGGGCATGATTTCCTTGTACATTTCCTCTTTCAGGTCCTGTATACTTTTCCTCATTTCAACATGATGTCTAGCTGAGTTTTCTTGTATCTCATTCAGTTTCCTTAGAATTATCACTCGAAATTCCTTGTCAGTCATTTCAAGGGCTTCTTGTTCTATAGGATCTAGAGCTTGAGATTTATTATCTTTGGGTGGTGTACTTTTGATTTTTTGTATTTCTGGTATCTTTTTTTTAATGTTTATTCATTGTGGCAGGGGGTTTCACAGTCCACAGGTTTGACACTATTGCCTAACTAAGATGTTGCTGTGGTTGCCAATTTGGTATGGCTACCTCAGTGACTGCTCAGTTGGCCACTAGTGCCTTGTGTGTGTGGTTGCTTTGGGTCTTGGGCCTCTCCAGGGAGCCACCTCTCTGGTCAGCTTGGACTCTGCCAGGCTGCTTGACCACGGGGCGGTACCGCAGGGTGTGTGGTCTCTGCTGAGCTTCCACCTCCCGTGCTGGACTTCTCCCTGTTCTGTGCGCTCTGGCCCGGGCTGCTGGGATGCACCGAGACATGGCAGAGCATGTGGTCTCTGCAGAGCTTCCCCTTCCCCTACAGGATGTCTCACTGCTCTGTGCACGCTAGGCCAGGCTTGGGATAGAGCCGGGTGGCAGCAGTGAAACCTACCTGCTGCTGGATCACATGATGGCGGCCCCCGCCACAGGGTGTGTGGACTCTACGGAGCTTCTATCTCCCTTGCTGGACGTCTCTGTGCTCTGTACGCATTGGGCCAGGCTGCTGGATCCCGCAGCAGCAGTGTGGTCCCCGTGGAGTCCCTGCCTCCCCTGCCAGATGTCTCCCTTCTCCGAGCGTACTAGGCCGGGCTGGGAATGGAGCCGTCTGTACGCATTGGGCCAGGCTGCTGGATCCCGCGGCAGCAGTGTGGTCCCCGTGGAGTCCCCGCCTCCCCTGCCGGATGTCTCCCTTCTCCGAGCGTACTAGGCCGGGCTGGGAATGGAGCCAGGTGGCGGCAGTGAAGCCTACCTGCTGGATCACGCAGTGGTGGCCCCACAGGGTGTGTGGTTTCTCCCAAGCCTCCGCCTCCCTTGCCGACGTCTCCCAACTCTGTGCACACTGGGCTGGGCTGGGAATGGAGCCAGGTGGCAGCGGTGAAGCCTATCTGCTGGATCGTGCGACAGCAGCCCCGCAGGGCATGTGGTCTCCGCGGAGCTTCTGCCTCCCCCGCTGGACGTCTCCCCGTTCCATATGCACTTGTTGTTATGTTTTAAATCAGTTGATTTGTGGGAGAGAGTGACACTAGGGACCGTCTATTCCGCCATCTTGACCAGAAGTCCATGATTTAATCTTTTGATTTAGCTAATAACGCAACACATAAGGACCTCTGACTATAAAATATAAATCTTAAGCAACAAGTCATCACTCCAGAGATGACTTGTTCATTTTGGATATATTATATCCAAAATATTATATTGTTAGTCTTCATTTTGGATATGTTATACTTAATGAAATTTTTCTGAGACTTAGATATTAATTTAAGAATCTATATGCTATCTGCTATGGAAAATAAACTGGGCTTTAAATGTTATCAATGAGAAACACCCTTCATGAACTATTTTTAATTAATTCCTGTTTTACAACTTGTCTCTTCTTTTGCCCAGTGCATGTGACAGCATCTTATTCTGATCTACTATGACAATGTCTCCTGCTCTGATACAGTGCTCTGTGTGCTACTGCATTTCTCATTTAGGATATTCCTCTGTCAGGAATCGGGATCTGTTAAGTGCATATGAAGGGCAAAGCTTGGGTGATCATCGCACTGTTATTCTCATCTGTCAGGATTAGCACAAAAATAGCCCTTTAGTGCAACAGTTTGTAGTGTGGTGCATAAAAGGGTCTGCAGGTGAACCATCTGGAGTCCCTTCTTGAAGAATGCATTGCAATCATTTGTACCTGTGTCAGATTTGGAAAGCTTTGAATATCCAGGGCCTTATTCATAGGAAAATACAACTCTTATCCTGTTCTATCTGTTGATGTTTATTGTTGTTGGGTTATTTGGGGGGATTGTTGTTGTTGTTGTTGTTTTTCATTTTTTATTTTGTTTTGTTTTGTAGCAAAGAAGTAAACGAGGAGGTTGGTCCAAAGGAAGAAAAAGGAAGAAACCTCTTCGAGACAGCAATGCACCCAAATCCCCCCTTACAGGATATGTTCGTTTCATGAACGAGCGGCGAGAACAGCTTCGAGCAAAGAGACCAGAAGTCCCATTTCCAGAAATCACAAGGATGTTAGGCAATGAATGGAGTAAACTGCCTCCTGAGGAAAAACAGGTAATTGTTCTTATTCCTGATCCTTTGCTTGGTTTGGATTATATCTCAAAAATAGCTTCTATAAGAAAAGCAAAGAAAATGGATGGTTGATTCTTCAATTTTGTCAGTGTCTAGGAGACCAGAATAGTAGCATCCTTCATAGCTCTTTTCTCTAGCATAGTGATTTCTAAACTATTTCAGTTTGCAGCATAGCATGGGTGTGAGCAGGAAGGAGTCTAGGACTCCCCTCAACCAAAGCAACTCCGTTTTTATTTTATTTATATGTTGAGAGTTCACATAAGGATCTCTTTAAAGTGGTTCAATATAAAGAAATTAAGAAATCTGTCAACATAGTTTATTCTACTAAGTTAAATAAAAATCATGAATTAAATGAGAAAAGTCATTTGATAAAATTCTTCAGTTCATGTAAGATTTTTGTTTAAGAAAAAGATTTTATTGCTTTAATTTTTTTTAACTAGAGTTCTGGCAAACTTAACCTAGTATGGAAAATAAAGCAAGCACTACTTGAATTCTCTCTCCTCTAAGACAGAAACTAACCTTATTGCCAAGTGAAACAAATTCATTTTTTAGAGAGATTTGCAGAAAATTAAACACAAGATAGCCATGAGCTGGTTGAATGCCACTAAAGCAGAGTAATGGTAGTGATTGTGGGAGTAGCTTTGGGTTAAAAGTTCCCAGCATTCCCAACATCTGAAAGACATCTATATTTCTTTTATGTCTTAAACTCTTTTATGACTTACGCTCTTTTTTTTTTAATTGAATCATAATTGATTATACATATTTTGGGGGTTCAGTGTTGATATGTGTTGATCAAATCAATATTATTAGCATATATATTATTACAAATCATACTTATTCTTCTTTACGCCCCTTATCCAATCGCTTCTCATCCCCCTCTCCCTCCATCTTCTCACCTCTGATAACCCTAGATTTCTTCTCTCCTTCTGAAAGAGTAATGGCTACTCTGTTGATTTGTTGCCTAGATAATCTGTCCAGTGCTGACAGAGGTATGTTCAGGTCCCCCACTATTATTGTAGCACAGATGCTTCCTCTGTAGCACAGATTCTCACTCTGGAATGTGCTTTGCAGAGAGAGATATCCTCTTCTTTGGTTTCTGCTGGTGACTCTCCTTGTGTATGACTTACGCTCTTTAAGAAGGCATCCAGACAGACTAAAACCAAATTGAAAAATACTCTCTTGGGAATTAATTGAATTCAAAAATTTTCAGAGATCAGATTAAGTTGCAGTCTGAAGCTCTGTGTTTGTGGTAGTAAGCTACTAGAAAGCAGTGTATATCAGCCATTGTTTTGACTCGACTGTATAAAGAGTCATGAGCTATACATATTAGATTACTGTTTTCTTTTTTATTTTCATTTCAAAAGTAATGGCATGCTCATTGTTAATATTTTTTTCAGTAAATACAGAAGTGTATAAACAAAACAAAAGCTACAGTAGTTATCTCCTGTTAATTATGTAGGTTTTGTGTCTGTTTTTGTTTTTTTTTAACTTTTGATTTGAAAATAATTTCAAATGTATAATAAGTTACAAGTATAAAAAAGTACAAAAAATGTCCAAACACCCTTCACCCAGATTCACCTATTGTTAACACATTTTATCCCATTTCTCCATTTCCATATGCATTCATACATGTGCACACTTGCACACTCAATCTCTTTCTCTCTCCCTTTCTCACACACACACATGCACACACACACACACAATTTTTCAAATCATTTGAGAGTGGGTGGGGGACATGGAGTACAAACACAATTTGTGGTAATGTGCATGCTGCCAGTATGGATCTGGCTTTCGCATCTTGGACACGAAGGGCCATGACATGTTAGGCACAAGTGGTGACAATCAGCTTTGTATCTCATGAATATTCATAACCAATAGTAAATAAATAAATAAATAAATAAATCATTTGAGAGTAAGTTACATCATCATGGCCCTTTACCCCTGAATTCTTCGGTGTGTATTTCTTAAGAATAGAGATATTCTCTCACATAACCATAGTATAGTTGTCAATTTCGTAATTTTATATTAACATAATATTTTTTATCTAATCTACCATCGATATGTTTACCTAATATCATTCCTTTATAACACTTTTCCCCTCTCGTACAGATTCCAGTCTAGGGTCAGGTTTTGTGTTTAATAGCTAAATCTCTTTAGCTTCTTTTAAGCTGGAATATTTCCACAGTCTTTCTTTGTCTTTTATAACATTGCTATTTTTTAAGAATACAGTCCTTCTCTCTTCCCCCTCCCCCTTTTCTTATACTTTTAGCAGAACATTCTTCATTTTGTATTTGTCTGATGTTTTCTTGTGATTAGATGGAGGTTATGAATTCTTGGTCAAAATACTGCATAGATGGGTGATGTATCCTTTTCGGGGTATCACATATGCAGGCACACAAGTGTCCTTTTGTTTCTCATTGGTAATGTTAATTTTGTTTACCCAGTAAATTTTTTAGATTCTCCTTTATAATTAATAAATCTATAGGGAGACATTTTAAGAGCATGCAGATAGCCTGTTCCATATCGAAATTTTCCTCTAGATTTAGCATCCATTATGATTTTTGCCTGATCTAATCTTTATCATGGTCACAAAATGGTGATTTTTCCAACTCCAGCACTCCCTTTACATTTACCAGTTGGCTTTCAGCTTTCTAATCTAAGCAGAAGCCCTCTCCTCCTCCCCCCATTTATGTATTTATTTGTTCGTTACCTATTTATTATTGGTATGAAAATAAATAATTGGTATTATATCTTTTTTTTAATGGCTTATAATTTCTTACTGTACTTAATTATTTTGGTGCTTAAATTGTCCCAGATTTGGCCAGTTGAGTGTCCCCTACTTCTGGCTCTTGTGTGAGACAAGGTTTTTAACATAATTTCTGACTCTGGTTTATGTTCATTTAGAAGTGTTACTTTTATAATTTCTTATACCTAATTTGATGAATGAAAAGAACAAAGCATTAAAAAAATCCTGGTAGATCATGAAATTTGTTTAAATAATTAATAGCACAAAGCAATCAAAACATATAGATATAGGCTCTCTCAACGTAGTACATTTTTAGGTCCATAGGATGAGGTCATTCTTTTTATATTCTTTGTGTCACCCTGCTTTAGTGCTCCACTCTTCTGGCTCTTAAAAGGCCAATTAATGTATGAGATCATTCCCTCAAAATGGGGAAGGGATAGAGAAACAAAGTAGTATTCCATTCCTTCCCCTGGGAAGACTAACTGTATCTATGTGGTGTGCAGACCTCATGAGGACTCTAGTGGCCATGTGAACTTCTATCTAATAGGGTTAAAGGAATAGCTACAATGATCTTCGTGAATTTTTTATGAGAATGATGTCATTAGAACTTGTCTTTATTAAGTTAGAAAAGGCAGTAAATAGTCTAAAAACTCAGAATCACCTATTTTATAATTGAGAGATTGTATTTTATTCTGTTCGTATGACTCTTTTTTTTCTGGTTTCCCTTAAAGCATATTTCCTGTATTCTTTTCTTTCCATGTCTAATTGTCCTTTGTTTTCTTCAAATAGGTAATTGATATTATACCTAAATAAGATCTCAGTTTCATGAAAATAATTCCACTTTTCTTTCCTAGCGTTACCTTGATGAAGCAGACAGAGATAAGGAGCGTTACATGAAGGAACTGGAGCAGTATCAGAAGACTGAGGCCTACAAGGTCTTCAGTAGGAAAACCCAGGACCGTCAGAAAGGCAAATCTCATAGGCAAGGTATCAGAACCAGAAACAAATACAGTCAGACCTCCATATCTGTGGGTTCCTCTTCCAACCACTAATGGAAAATATTCAGGAAAAAAACAGCATCTGTACTGAACGTGTACAGACTTTTGTTCTTGTCATTATTCTCTGAGCAATACAGTATAACGACTATTTACATAGCATTTACATTGCATTAGGTATTATAAGTAATCTAAAGATGATATAAAATATACAGGAGTATATACATAAGTTATATACAAATGCTACACCATTTTATATCAGGGACTTCAGCATCCACAGATTTTGGTTTCTGCAGGAGGTCCTGGAACCAATCCCCCACAGATACCAAGGGATGACTGTACCTTTGCATTTTGTCATGCATGGAGTGTCATAAAACCAACTGTTAGAGGGACAAATATAAAAGATGTGTTTCTATTATCTCTCTGTTATTCTCTATTCACTTATAAGCATCATCTTGGAATTTTATTAAAATCACATTGCTCTCATTTAGAAATTACAATTGGGTTTTCATATCCATTATCAACAATTTGGCTTGTGCTCCAAGACCCCTATTAGTTGCCTGCCCTTCATTTCCTGATTCCCAGTTTAGTCATTTCTCTGCATCTAAGCAAGTCTGTCTTGTAAACTACATAACTGACTTGTTTTAACACTTCTAAGGTTTTCATGTGCCATTTCCCCCAGCTTCCAGGGGTCCTCCTTTTCATTCATTCATTTATGTATGCACGCATTCAAAATATATTTATTGAGTACCTTCTATTAGATATCAGGCTCTCTCCTAGGCATTAAGACTACAACAGTGAGCAAGATAGGCAAGATCTCAGTCTTCATGGATCTTTTGTTCTCTGTTAAGATTGTTTTTCACACCCTTACAAGTATTGCTTCAAGTTCCCCTTCTTCAGGAAACACAGTCAAAGAAGCACCACCCACAACTAGTTAGTTGTTCCTTAGCCATCTAAGGATGAATCTTCTCCACACCTGGGCCTCTAGCCTGCTAATATTATAATGTTGTACAAACAGCCTTTGGTATATGTTTCCTGTCCACCCTCTCACCCTATTCTGCTCAAAGGTAAGAACTGTGTCTACTGTTTCTCTTGTGCCTAATTGTGTATTCTGTAGGTATGGGGTTCCCTGTAACTTTTGTTGACTTGCCAATTAATAAAGCCATGAAGGAAAATATCATATGTTATGAAAGTCTATATATACGAGCATGTTTTGTAGTTTGGCATGGTCATATACTTTGGTTTTGTTATTGTTTTGTTTTGTTTTCAATTTAATGTTCTCTTATTTCATATTATTAGATGCAGCTCGACAGGCCACTCATGATCATGAGGTAATTAGCCTTCTGTCTACATATCATATATGTATTTATAATAATGTTGCTGTTTGAAATGCTATTGGATTTTTTTTTTTTTTTTTTTTAATGAATGGCAGAGTATTTGCTGTCCTTAAGTGAAATTGGGTGAGTTGCTTTAGCTCAGGGACTCTTAGCATATGGCAGACACTTATGTTGTCTGTCTATCTTTGAACTACAGCCCCTAACCCCAGTCCTTTCCTGTGGTCCAAGAATTTTATTGCCTTTAAATACCAAAGATGGGTGGAATTCCAAATGAGGTATAGAAATGAGGGCCAGATGAAAGCTATAACTTGACCATAGTTTTTCATCACCAAATACCTTAGTCTGGCTGTCAAAAAGTGTTTATAGGGAATCCAGCATTTGGTTAAAATGAACTATTCAACCACAGTGTCAATAGAGCACAAGTGTCAGTTTCTCAATTCTCATACATCTCTCCTATTCCCTTAACTCACTGGAACATATTTGTTTACTAGCCTCTTCCCTCCCATTTGGTTTAACCCCACTGATAGAATTTAGGTCTGTGTTGCTGTGTATGTACAGGATAAAGGCCTGCATGTGTTAGCTATGATGCATATAGAGCCTATGGTTAGTGTATGGTTGTAAAATACTAAAGTCCATGGTAATTTCATGCTTTAAATGCTCAATGACTCCTTATTGCTTACCACATCACATGCAAACTCAGTAGTCGGGGTCTTGTGTAAGTCCCAACTTCTCATTCCAAATACCTATATACCTTATATACTTAAAACCTTTACTTCTCACTGTCCTCCAGGTGCCCCACCTTCTCTGCCTCCTGCCTGTGTTCATATTATCACTTTCATAAGAATACTTTCTCTCCCTCACACATTTCTTTCCCATCCCCATCCTCCCATTTCTGCCGCTCAAAATTCTAGTCATCCTTCAAACCGTATTTTAAGTTCTATTTGCTCCTTCAAACTTTTCTTGTTTTCTTCAACTTTTTTTAACCCTTGCTGCTCTCTATACTTGTCTTAGGCACTTAGCTGATATGGCCTGGTGTTGAGATTATTGAAGTACTTCTATTATTCACACTCTTGGATTGCAGTCTCTTTGAGGTCATTCATGGTCTAGTTTTCATCTTTGTATCCAACTCCATACCACCTAGCATGATGCCCTTGCATGGAGGAAGTATTTCAGAAATACTTAATTTTTATTCAAGAACACATTTAAAGTTGACTTGAAAAACAGTAGGAATTTGGACAAAAACAATTTTCTAATGTACTCTTTTACGTGTATTTCATTTTTTACTAAATCAAGGAAATCATTTTTTTCAAAGTAATAACTTATTTATCTTGAGGTTGTAGTTCTCATACCTGATTTGGTGTTGGTGACTTTCAAAACATACAGAAAAAATTCAGATTCACAAGTCAAATAGATGTGCTACCATCCGTGAATTATAAAGTGAGATGCACAGTAAATATTAGCGTTTTATTCTTCATGTAAATTCTATATAAGTGTAGTTATAGCTGATATCTCTGTGCTCTGATTAAGATGAAATGCTATGAATATTTTTTGCCTGAGAAACTTTGTATGTATACCTTGTATTTCATATCATAATTGAATAGTGTTGGGGCCGGCCCGTGGCTCACTCAGGAGAGTGCGGTGCTGATAACACCAAGGCCATGGGTTCAGATCCCATATAGGGATGGCCGGTTTGCTCGCTGGCTGAGCGTGGTGCTGACAACACCAAGCCAAGGGTTAAAATCCCCTTACCGATCATCTTTAAAAAAAAAAAAAAAAAAAAAAAGAATAGTGTTGCAAGCTTTCATATTACCAGACATTTGTATAATTAATTATTGCCTTTATCCTTTGTCTCTATGCCTACCCATCAATATCCTGATATTTCTGTACTTTTTTTCCCCTACTTTATAACTTCTTTATTCTTCATGGTTACAAAAGAGAATGTGAACAGTAATCTGAAACATTAGATCTCATGTCTTCTAGTCAATCACTGACTCATTTTATCTCTATGGATTTTGCTGACCAAACTATATGTGGCATATTCGTCTTCAGTAAAGTCGATAGTTGCAGTTGGAAAAGATGAAGTAGATTTAGTCAGTCATAGAAGCTACTGCTGCTGCTGACTTGAGAAATGAAACTTTTTATTAAAATACATTTATGATATGAATTTCTACAATTTCTATGATTTATGAGTCTCTGTGTGATTTCTCTGTTGCAGGTTGAAACACATGTTAAACCAAATCAAAAATAAAAGGAGTGGGTAGGTGGAAAGCCAGCAGAAGTTTCTCTCAAATGTATATATAGAAGGTTCTGTAAATCTATCTGCTGGTATGCCGGCATCACAATAAAGCTGTCTTAGTAAGATTATTGACCCAATTAATGTCCCTCACTTAATCAGTTTTTATTTTTCATTGAATAATATATTTTCTGAAATAGTTAATTTCAGGACAATTGCAGTATTAAAGAACTGGCTTAAATTTTTTCAAATTGTTTTAAACACTGTTTAAGACTATTTTTAAACACTGTTACACAGTGATTTTCTTACATATAACTTAATAGTTTAGAAGTTCAGAAAAATAAGAAGGCACTGTGGGTGAAAAGCAGCCACAGAAGGCCCCATGGAAAGGAGGAATTAAATCAGGCCTTAAAGATAACCCAGGTTTTGTGGGGGTACCTCAGGGTTGGTAAAGTGGCTTGAGCCATTTTGAGGTGTAAGTTAATAAAAGAGCCATATATCTAAATACATGATTTATTTCCCTTCACTTATCCTATGAGGAATAAAATGAAAAATGTAATAGAATAGTCTTTAAGCTCATCTTAGAATACTAAGACCTCGGAGAGCCTCTCAACTTACCACCTCATTTTGCAATGAGGAAAGTGATTTGCCTAAAACAGGAAATAATGTACCCAGAATCACTTACTGAATTAAGTTACAGGCAGAAGTATGACTGAAATCCAGGCCTTCTGTGTCACAGGCTAGCATTTTTGGCAACACAATGCCATGCTATGTAGAATAAACTAAATAGTGTTGAAAGTTAAAATGGACCTGGTTGCCTGAGATGTCAGCAGCATTTGTTGCCAGTCAAGACAGAAATTATTTGGTCTGTGTATAGTAAGGAAACCTATTGTATTCCCAAATGGAACTTGGATCTCTATGACACTATTACCAAGGCAGATACTGGAGAATGCGTATTAAGCTAAAGAAATGCTGACCTGAAAGCCATTCTGCATAGCACTGGGGCACTTCAGCCTGGTACACAATATTAAGAGCATTCCCCAAAGTAAAGGGCACTTGAGAGAACCATATCACACTCTCTGAAATTCTGGCCCTGAGCCTCATACATAGCAAAATAGGTTCAGATCAAAAGGGCCTCTGTTCTCTTAACCTCCACTCAATATATAGAATGAAAAAACAAAGTGAAGAGTATCTTACTCCTCTCAAATCAAAAACCAGCCCACTAGACCCAGAAGTCAGCTAGTATTACTCTCAAGAAAGTATCTACGTCTCATGTGAGAACTGATAGAAACAATAATTTTGTTTCTCCTTTAATTTATGAGAAATGACAAAATGACACTCAGCCTGAACAAATTAGACCCTTTCAATGAAGAGGTAATCAAATCCTTATGATTTTAATCCCTTGAGCGATCCTTGGAGCAGCTTAAGTATATCCAAGCCCCCAGGAGAATCCTCTCCAGGCCAAGTAATGTACTCAGTAATGGAAGAGTGCTGATGGTTTTTATTACCACTCTTCTGTTAAGTAGAATTTCTCTGTTGCTTTTCAGAGACTGAACAGTTTCATTTAATTGCTTTAATGTTTCTTATTTTGCACTTTAAGAAGCTGTACCAAGGGACAGTGTGTTAATGCACCTATGTGGTACTGTCCTCTGCCCTTACATAATTAGCTTGGTTTGACTGCTCTGGCAAAGAAGAGAACAAAATTACCAGTCTGAGGAGAATCAAGACCTTGGAGAAAAGTCTTCATACCAAGGTATTGGGAGCCAAGCATCCGCACTTACCCATCTAACTGGCAGATATTGACACCTATGGCTAGGTAACTGATCTCATAGAAGCCTGTGCAGTTAAATAGGAGACTGAACAAAGTCTTATGACGTTTGCCTTGTACCTGTTGGGATTGTATGTCATAAGTTTTCTGTTTTCCTGCAGCAACCTAGTAACAGAGTTAAAGCATATGGTAAGCCAGCAGAGTTGAGAGAAAGCCACTGTGAAATGTGTCTAAGATCCCTTCTGAAACCAGCCTTTCTTGCCCATGCATTAGTTCACATTGAAATCCACTAGGAACTAGCTCGAGGAAGAGCTTTGCATGTTGAAACTTGGGGCTTTCAATAATTTTGTTATTTTTAAATTATTCGGGGAAACTGCTTTCTTTCTTTAGGAAGAAAAAGATAGGGTAAAATTTAAGTGCTCTGAAATTTTCCTAAGGTAAATACATAGTTTTTCAGACTTACATCTTAAATGTCCATCTTTTTTTTTTAGTTTATTTATTTATTTTTTTGCTGCTGGCCAGTGTAGGTATCCGAATCCTCGACTGTGGTATTATCAACATTCCATGCTGACCAACTGAACTAACCGGCCAGCCCTTAAATGTCTATCTTAATCAGCTGCCATTGGCAAGCAGTCCACACAGCCCAGCCCTCTTACTAGGCAGACACCAGTATGAAAACAGGAGCTTGGCTGTCAGAATTACCTCATAGTCAGTTAATTGCTTAGCTTTTCTACTGGGCACCAAATCATCTTTATGTTCAGAGATATAAAACTAGTGGTGACAAGAGTAGGAAAGATACATTCTATTTCTAGCTTTAAACATGTTTTTATAGGAACAATTTCTGGGTATTTTGTTTACTGTTTTTCATGTGGATTTTGGAATCTTCACATTTCATTAGCAATTTCTTCAGTATTCATTTCCTACTATTCTCTTTACCATCTTACAGGAAGATTTTGAACACTATGCCAAGACACTTATAATTTATATTCATAATGCTTTTAATGTCAAATTCATTGTAGAAATGGCAGCCAAAGCATCTTGAAGTATTAGTTTTATTCTTAAAGATTGTTGTGGAATATATTTTGCAGTGGTTTTGTGAGAATTTTTTAATTTTTAATGGCTTATTGGTGAATTAATTTTAGGCTTTATTATTCTTTTCTATCTCACATAATCCTTAGCTTCCTCATTTTTAAAGCCTGTTTATTCCTGACTTCTTCATTTTTTGTTTTTCCTATGTCTGAAGAAAGTCTAAAAGAGCCCCAAAGAATTTCTGTTGTCCACTCTGCAAATTTTTTTTTTTTTCTTTTTTCGTGACGGGCAACGGGATCGCAACCCTCAGTGTCACGCTCACACCGCGCTCAACCAGTGAGCGGACCGGTCTCTATATGGGATCCGAACCCTCGGCGGGAGCACCGCCACACTCCCAAGCACCGCACTCTACCGAGTGCACCACCAGGCCAGCCCACTCTGCAAATTTAGATTGCATAGTTCTATCTCCGGGAGTATTTTACATGCATAACCAACAGAAGTGACTGAAAAAACACCCTCTCTCAATTCCCCACCTCAACCATTTTCACAACTACTCAACGCACAAAGCTAAGAAATAGCTTTCTTCATTAGGGAAATTTAGATAGGTTTATTTTAAGATTTCTCATTGCACAGCAGTTGTACAACTGAGAGAACTGAATACTTAGCCTGCTTGAACTCTATGAAAGTTCCATTCCAATGAAAAACTGAATACATTTTCCTCACAGACTCACCTGGACTGATTGCTGCTGATCCAAATATTTTTTAAGGAAGGTATGACCATTGTGCCTTCAGACTCTTAGCTTCTGTTTAAGAAATTAACCATTTTGTTATTCTTGATTCACAGAAAGAAACAGAGGTAAAGGAACGATCTGTTTTTGACATCCCTATATTTACAGAGGAATTCCTGAACCACAGCAAAGGTGATTTTTTGTGTTCCTTGGGTCTTTGACAGGGGATTTAGTTCTCAGGAGGAATTCATCGCTCAAAAGCAATGATAGTGATATCCCTCCCTAGGACAAGTCTGGAAGAAGAATAACTGCTTCACTATGTAGTAAAGGTAGCTGCTCAAAGACCAGTGAAGGATGGGGCCGGCCCGGTGGCGCACTGCTACAGTGCGCTGCTTGGGAGCGCAGCGGCGCTCCCGCCGAGGGTTCGGATCCCACATACAGACCGGCTGCTCACTGGCTGAGCGAGGTGTGGGCGCGACACCGAGGGTTGCGATCCCGTTGCCGGTCCCGGTCCAGTACGGGCGCGACACTGAGGGTTGCGTTGCCGGTCACGAAAAAAAGACAAAAAGGAAAAAAAAAAAAAGACCAGTGAGGGAAAGCTAGGTCAGTGTTGTCAAAGTTTCTTTGGTCTCTGGATCAAAGGAGATAAATGTAAATCACTAATTCAGTTCGTTTCAGACACTTAGCCTGGAACCCTTTGTACAAATGAAAGCTTACATGGGAGTCCAAAATATAAAGTAAGGGCAAAGCTGATCCCATTGTAGTAAAGATGAGTACCCACAGCTGTGCTTGGGTGATTTCCCAGGGTACCCCACATGAAACCCCTCAGGCTTCACATTGCACTATTTTAAAAAGCAAAAACTAACTAACACAATACTGGAACTGCAACTGTTTTGCAATCTTATGTACAGAATGTGACCAGCTTTAAGAATTAAAATAGCTCTGGGGAGTCAGGCATTTCATTGCTGAAATTGCTATCTAGAATGCCATAATGAGAATAGGCAGATAAGGTGGAGTAGCTAATTAGAGACAGATAAGCAGAACTTCCTTATGAGAGTCATTGGGACTCCTCAGAGACTCCTTCCAGTGCTGCATGTGTTCTGTGGGGTGTATGTTCTCAGCTCGGGAGGCAGAGCTCCGCCAGCTTCGCAAATCCAACATGGAGTTTGAGGAGAGGAATGCAGCCTTGCAAAAACATGTGGAGAGCATGCGCACAGCAGTGGAGAAGCTGGAGGTGGATGTAATCCAAGAGCGGAGTCGCAACACAGTCTTACAGCAGCACCTGGAGACCCTGCGGCAGGTGTTGACCAGCAGCTTTGCCAGCATGCCCTTGCCTGGTAATGTCATCCTGCCTGAGTACTTTCAGTGCTGGGAGTGGGGGTTGGGGGTGCTTTTTATGTTAGTATTGGTGTGGGAAGGTTGAACTCTTCCCCAAGAGGAAAATCAATAAGATAAGGCTTTTTTTCCCCTCAGGATTTTCTGTGGATCATGTAATATAGAATGTCAGTATTGGCTAAAACCATCCAAAATTTCAGGCTCTCTGGTCATTTAATTTTGGTCCACTTATGTTTTAGTATAATCTGTTTTCCTTTCTAATAAGCTTAAATTTTATATTCAGAACAATGGAAACTGAGTAATAAATCCCAAGGAGAGCACTTTCTCTTACATATGTTTTCTTGCTTTATATTTGTTTTTTTTTTTTTTAATGGGAAGGAAGAGAAAACAAACACTAGTGTCTCTTATATATTCTTTCATTCTGAGGATAGTCACAGCAGAAAGCTGGGAGAATCTCTAACCTTCTGTTACATGCAGCTACTTATATATACTGTTCAGCAATTATATAGCCCTGTTTATTTAGAGTATGTGAATTAGTCTCATTTCTTTGAAATCTAAAAGTCTCTCCTCTAAAATTAAAATCTTGTCTGTGAAGTAGACCATGTTAGAGTTACAATTTTTTTTTGCTGTGGATTCACTTAACTTTTATGGTTGAACTGAAGGGGAGGATTTTCTTACTATCTCTTCTTTTCTCACTTCAGGAAGTGGAGAGACACCTACAGTGGACACCATTGACTCATATATGAACAGACTGCACAGTATTATTTTAGCTAATCCCCAGGACAATGAAAACTTCATAGCTACAGTTCGAGAAGTTGTGAACAGGCTTGATCGTTAGGGAATGGTAAGTGCTCACTGATGGGATAATCATTTGCCAGCACATCATCAAAAATAAGATGCCATCAGACTTTATCAATGCTACAAAACCTTAGAATTACATTGAATGAATGAGTTGGAGACTTGATTAAGATTCCTGTTGCATAGTTGCTTAAGGTAGTAAATAATATTAGAAAACAGAATCAAGACAGTTTTTTCTCATACTTCAGAATGGTTTAATGGAAAAAGATTGATTTTTGTGGTGGACGTTGGTTCCAGCTTTGTCACTTATTAGGTGTACTCTGCACCCTGGTGCTATCACCACACTGTAACCAACTGACCTAACCAGCCAGCCCTGTATTCTCAGGCATTAGTTTCCCGAAGGGTTTTTGAAGAAAGTGAAAAACTTAGAGGAAATCATGCCCAAAACAGCACTCAGAAGAAAATATCACTTAATTGTTAATCTTGCTTTTCCCTGGAAAATATTAATGATAATTTACAAGTAGTCAGTGAGACATTCTATGTTTATAAACTTATATAATTAGGAAGCCTTTTTATTCACCACTCAATAACAGAGTGACTGTTTGTGTTATATGTTGGTGTGGACTAACCATACAGTGAAATAATGCCCTGGTTTTAATAGATCAAAAAAATAAACTCTCAATAAGCAAAAAAGAGAGGAGAGAGAAATAAGGTTTTTTTAGAATACATTTAACAATGTAGTATGCTTTACATCCTTTTAGAGGAGAAAAAAGTGCATTTCCAGAAGGAATCTACGCATGCAAACTTTTTGGTACTAATGGTTAGTCATCAGCTATCATTTCTTAAATAGAATTGGTATTTGTTCACTCAAGTTCTTAAAGATAGGGTTCCCTTTTAGTATGCCATCCCACAAAATTGGCAGCCCTTTGGTCTATCAATTAAATTGTTTTGTACCTAGAGACATATAAACTGTGTGGAAATCTTAGGTTACACCATACAGTGAGGTAGGTGCCACGTATGGATACTAACACAGTAGTCAACAGTAGAATACACTCCATAGAATGGCTGGTCATGAGTCCGAATCTTTGTCCTTTATTTGGCAGGTACATGAGCACACATATATGTAATTCATATTCTCGCTTGTTTAGATTTTGAGCAACATGTATAAGAATAAGTAAAACCCACGATTTTTTAATCTAATGAGGCAACATCTGCTAGCAGAGACAAAGGCAGAAAAGTCTTTATCCTTCTTTGCCATGTCCTTGAATGGTAACTGTACAAGGCAATTCATTATACTTTAGCCTCAGCCGTGCTCTGATGGGGAAAGGATTACTGTCCTTCTAGTGAGTAGCCAGATGGAACAGGCTATACTTCTAAGAGATGGCTGGACTCCCTGCAGAATAAAGAAGTGTCATTACTGCTTCTGCTTATGAAGAGAACAGCTTGTAAATCTAGGCTTGGGATTTTTCAGAAGCTCATCATCCTTCTCATTTTCATACAGTGTTTTCAATTAGCACTCTCGTAGGCTTGAAAAGAGAGAGCTGAAAGAAACAGTGTGGAAGATTGTGAAAGAAAACAGTAATTGATAACATGGTGTCTCCTCACATAGGTATAGGGCCATTAATGCAAGTACTGTATTGAGCCAAAAGTGGATTTTTTATTTTGAGCATTTGTCAGCAAGACTCCTAGACTGTTACCCATCTTAAGAATATAAACCATAGTGTCTGCTTTCTGAGGTGTCTTTGAAAACCTAGCATATTGCCATTATCCTTGATTTCAACCTACAAATATTTTACCCTTGAAAAAATACCTGAAAATGTAAACTGTTATATTACTACAAATTCTTACTATCTAGCCATGCAAACGTAACTAAGAATAGATAGTTGCCCCCACCCCCCAAAACTGTCAAATGAAACAATTACAAAAACTGTGATTGATACTAGCTTGGCCTCATTATACAAGTATGTACAGCAAGGCCTGATGTCCCCAGCACTCGTGGTGCAATTAATAACTCTGACATGAGCTTGGCAAAGGTTTCATCCACTGTCAGGAGCCAGTGAGTAAAGGGAAGCTAATGATCTACAAGTTTTAGAGGAGCATATTAGAGATGGGAGGGACCTTTAGAAATCTAGCATTTTATATATGAAAAAGCTGAATCCCAAAGAGGTGAAACATCTTACCTGAAAATACCTGAGTAGATAGTACAGAATCCAGGACTAGAACACAGATATCTAAACTCCCATTCGGTGAGGTTTCTAAGTCATTGCTGTAAGTGGTAGGGGAAAGGCACTAAAAAATCTTGGAAGAGAGAATTAAGATAACTAGGAAGTAAACAGAAAAAAAACCCTACAATCCAGTAATTATGTTACAGAATTTTGGTCAGCCCATTTTAAAATTATTTTTATAGATATACAATGGAAGAACTACCCCAGCTGTCACATTTCTTGTAGCTAACTAGTTCCTTGAGACAAGTAGAGCTGCAAGTCATAAGAGTGATTTTAAGTTGAGAGGTGACCACTTTATATAAACTATTACAATCCACATGTTACCTGATTTCAATCTAACCAATGATAAATATAGGGCTGTTTGAGAAGAAAAAAATCCTTCTTATATGATTACATTTTTATCAGTATGAGAAAATGTATTGATCACATGCATACAGTACATTCCTACATGTACAGACATCCTTAGATTTATACTTGAAGAAAATTGGTTTTGATTAACCATATATTCTTTGGACTGAAGTACTAATTTTCTCTAGTCAGACTTATCCCTGATAGTTGCTTTTCTATGTTTAGCTGAAGCTTTTCCTACCTCACATTGTTGCTGAACTGGAGCCGTGCCGTGTTCTCATTGAAGTGTTCTCTGAAACATCTCCATGAGATTGCCTGGTTGCAGCTTTATGTGCTCTTTAGTTTACATACACCTTGCCCTTCACAACCTATATGAAAATAAAACAAACATCTTTAAAATTCGTAGCCCTAACCCTTCTGATCAGTACTTACCTTTGTGATGTCCCCCTTTTTTTTTCCTTCTCTCTCTAATGCTACAGGTCTTAGAGCTCCAAGAGGTTCTGTAAGTGTTTTTGCTTGTGAGGAATGAGAAGCCATCCATGGGGGCAGAGGAGTACAGACAGATCCCTTTGCTTGTGAAAGAATTACCAATGAGTGAGTTGCCTTCACCCCAGCAAGCCATATGAGGGAGCAGCAAAAGGAACACGTGTATGAACTTCCTATGGCATCATCCTTGTGTGGAACTTTGAAAGTGTACAGCCACTCTCCCAAGTCTTCAGTTTCCTATCATTTCCATCTGTTAAAGTGGATCTGCATATATTCTGCTGACTAGGTGACCCTGAGGCTGACATCTGGTACAGCAGAAAGAATGACTTCCCATTGTTGCAATTCCAATTAGACCCTTTTATTGGTAGAGCTCCGTTTTTCTTACCTAGCTGTCACTTTTTAAAAATGCCTTCAGGGGTTATATTTTGCTTCCCTTCACTCACACCAAGTTATACATCTCCATTTTCTGACCTCTGGGCTTTATAGCTCAGCAGGGTTCTAAAAGAGAGTTTCTCTCATTGGATGGGCCCAATCTTCTCCCATCATTGCCCTGCTGTGTCTCCAAAGAAAGGAGCTTCTTGTTGACAGTGCCCTGTGGAGCACGCTGTGTTTCATACCCCACAGAGTGCTCAGTGGGTACCTGGCTTTGTGATTGCTGCCCTGAAGGAGAATACTCTCACCTTCTTCCTTGGTACTGCCTGCTGTTTTCTAAGCATTGCTCCTGCACAGACATGGAGTCCCAGCCCCAGCAAGGCTCTTCTGTTCCCATCTGTTGGCAATGTCTTGTGGAGCATTTTTGCTAAAGAAAAGGTCATTGATAAACAGAGGAGAAAGGGAAAGAGTAGTTTTTCATTTGGTATTGAAAAAAAGCCCAAAGTTGATCAGAAGTGAAAACTGAGGGAATCCCTGTCTTCTTCAGGTATAATGATTCTTGGATTTAGATAGGTGAAAACATATTCAGAATAGTCTCTTGAGCTGACAGAAAGGGCATAGAGGAATTCTCATGTCCTTTGTCTTCCTCTGTAGCTGTTAACTGCTGAATCTGTGCGAAAAAGACAAGCTTCCCTTCCTTCTCCCTCCTTAGCAAGTGATTTTTTTTTTTTAAACAGCAAAAGCAAAGAGGGGTTTCTGGTTCCTTTAACAGCAAGGGGAAGCAAGATTCTGATTCTTCACCTCAGGGTATCTGTGCGAAAAAGACAAGCTTCCCTTCCTTCTCCCTCCTTAGCAAGTGATTTTTTTTTTTAAACAGCAAAAGCAAAGAGGGGTTTCTGGTTCCTTTAACAGCAAGGGGAAGCAAGATTCTGATTCTTCACCTCAGGGTTTTTTTTTGCTGTTTTTTGTTTGTTTGTTTTTGATGCCCTAGAGCACAGGGCTGAAGGTTGCAGCTGAGATCTTTGGAACCAAAGCAGAGCATGCTGAGCTCATTGTCCAGGCACCACGCCACTGAAGGCAGGTGAATGGAAGTATGGCCCCTCTCACAATATGCTCATCAACCAGGGTGCAAGGCAGAAACTCCCTGTCATGTTGCTGCACCATCATATCTTCTCAGCATCTCCTTACTTGTTTTCTTTAGTAGTCCAAAGGATAACAACAACAAAACAATTTTTTTAATACCTTATGTGAACACATCAAATTCTCATGCACTGAATCTCACTTACCACCTCTTGGCAATTTTTTAGAATAAGACCCATCATTATCTACTGCTATAAACCTAGACCGGTCTCCTGCTTTTTTCCTGTATTTTCCAATTTTCTTGCTCTCATCTGCTGTTTCTTCCACTTTTCTTAGACTCCATGCCTGCCAGGTCCAAACTAGAACTCACTGTCTGTGGCAGAAGGACATCCAAGCTGGTTCTGGAAGTTTTTGTCTGCTTTCTGCCAGGGGCTTTCTGTCCTTTCCCTCCTTCTAATATTTCTCTCTGTTTCTCCTTTGTGTTCAATTTTGTGAAGCTTTGTTAGCACTGATTTTGTGACCAGGAAAGGATATAACTTGGTACAAAGATTATCATTCTTCTGACTCTGGTGTCAGATGGGACACCTGACAGTGACTTGAAATATTTGCATACTCAGCAGTGCATGAGATCTCAAGAGAGCCTACAGTTTGCAATCATTTTCACAAAATAAGCAGCTCTTAGTTTAATAAAATAAGCCTCTCTTATTTTCTCAGCATTTTAAACATGCTGGCTCTCCCAGTAGTTACACACCTCCTGACTCCCTGGTGACTGGAATTCAGCTGCCACAAAACTGTCCGGTTCCATAAAGCAGGTCTGTGCCACCTCCTCCCTCTCTGTGCTCTAAGAGGAGGTGGTAAATGAGGTTACAGGCTAGCACAATATCTAATTCATGTTTCCCAGTAAATTTGTACATATTACTGCACTTATATGTTCTTCTCAAGAAATAAGCTGTTGCCTATTCAGTGTTATAGATTTCTTTCTTTTAAAACACAAGGAGCAACTGAGGAAACGGAGACAAGTGTTTTATTTCTGACAAATTTTAGGGGAAAAAAATTGTATATGTGTGTTTGGAACTGTTGAAATGCCAAGTTTTCTGTACAAGTGTTTTTGTAATTAAACTTTTAGATTTTCTGTTTTTTAAAGTTGATATGCTTGCCTGACATTTGTCTCATTAAAACTTTTCTATGTTGAATCCACCTGATTCAATTATACTTTCATTGTAATGAAAAAAAAAGTCCTGCCTCTGCTTTTTCCTCTTAAAGATGTCAACTCTGCATTAATCATCAAGTCTGTTATGCTTTTAAAACAGTAACACATTCATTTTACTAACTGCTTATTCAAAGTGTGTCTTCACCTGTTTTAGAATTCAGCTCTTTTAGTATATAACAATACAATGAGTTATAATTCACTTTAATGTAGCAGTAGCATTCTGGAGGCAACTTGAAGGATGTTTTTAAAGTCAGTGATCCTGATAGGAAATCTTTTGACAGAAGAGATAAATTGTGCCCAAATGCTTGCTTTTTAAAAATAACCACTACTAAACCAGTCAAAATCTTTTTAAAAGAAACTTGTCACCTATTTCCACCATGCTTTTAAAATCGTAGGGGTAAGTCAACCTAGCTTCCAGAGCCTGCTGCTCTCCAAGTAGCCAGCTGTGTGGTATTAGGCAAGTCAACTCCAGTTTCCTTTTCTGACATAATACATGCCTCAGCTCTCTTACACTATTGTTAGAATGATAGAATTAGGTAACAGAATTAACCACACTTTGAAGGATAGGAAGTATTTGTTACATGAACACCAAGAATTATCAGAGTATCTCAGTTAAGATTGTGTTTTAACAGAAATCCAAATCAGTAACAGCTTAAATAGGAAGTGTGTCTGTCTCACAGAAAAGTGTGCCAAAGGTAGGCTGTCCAGGAGTAATACAGAGCCTTCTGCTGCACCGTGATAGGGTTCCTCTCTCAAGGTCAGCTCATGGTCCAAAATAGCTGCTTGACCACCAGCCATCGCTTTGAAATTTCTGACAGCATGACGAAAGGACGGCAAGGACAAAAAGGGCAAACCTAACTGAGTCAGCGCTTTTTAAGGAGTCTTCCTGGAAATCCTACTCAACACTTTTCACTTAATTTGACCAGAACTCAGTCATGTGACTAGCTAGCTACAAGGGAGGCTAAGAAACGTCTTCCTTGTGTGGACATTACTGCCCCAATGATATATGGGTTTTAGTAAGGAAGGAGAAAATAAATATATCTTTTTTTTTTTTTTTTTTTTGATGGTTAACTGGTACAGGGATCAATCCTTGGACCTTGGTGTTATTAGCATCATGCCCTAACCAGCTGAGCTAACTGACCAGCCCCTGAAAATAAATATAGAGTATGCAACTAAAGTTAGTGTCATAACTCATGTGCGTGACTCCATGTATGCACTAAGCCTGGCCTGCTATGTTAGTGAATGGGATACATTATCTTGCCTTTGCCTGCTGGCCATTTGAGGATGACCATGTACTTCCTTGGCACTTTTTTTTTTTCAAACAGCCAGAAAGCTGAAAATTAGCTTAGTCTGAGTTGGCATTTCCTGTTCCCACCTTAGCCTCCTCCCTTACCCCTCAACAGCTGGTGGCCAGTCTTGTTTGGTAAAAGTCAACATAAACAGGTGATAATACTTCCTCTACTTGTTTGTTCCCTTTCTCTAACTGCTCAGCATCTGCTGAATTAAAACAACACCAGGATAATCTTTCCCTTAGGGCAGGGAAATTGAAGTATTGCTTGGCGGAAAAGCTCATAGCTGCTTCCTGCCATCTGAAAGAATTTCCTGCCTTGCAACTGAGAGTTCCAAGTCAGGGGCTTTTCCTTTGGTTTATTTATTTTTGACACATAACCTGCACTCAGATATATATTTTATATTATCTACAGATATAAACAGTAGCTCAAATGCCAGCTCATAAAAAAGGTCAGGATTGAAAGTCAGAAAAATCAGGTGAAAATATTAATGTACATCCACTCATTCAGAAACCATTTCAGTTCATTTTCATGGTAATATGTACCTACGGGGAGAAATAGAAATGTAAGTTCTCTTAGCCTAGCAAAATTCAGAAAGAAGGAGGCACAAGGGGATAGGAGTAGCGTTGGGAAATTAAGAGCAGGACCAATGCAAATTTTCCAGGAAGAAGGATTCTTGTAAACTGCCTGCAACACTGGATCAGTGAGAAGATGCCTAAGATGTTTATGTGGGAATATGTAAGGCTGGGTGAAGGGGTGTTCCCTTGTTTGAGTCTCAGACACCCCATCCAACATTTAAGAGCCAGAGTTCCTTATAATCAGCTTCTCTCCATTTCACTTTAATATAGTCTTTATTTGGGACGACACAAGTGTTTATAAAACATGGTTTCTGATAGTCTATTTGAGAAGACAGACATGTACATAAATAGCTCTAGCATACATAGGGCAGCTCATATTAAGAATCTTTTTTTTTTTTTCCTTTTTGTCTTTTTTCGTGTCCGGCAATGGACCGCAACCCTCAGTGTCGCGCCCGCACCGGACCGGGACCGGCAACGGGATCGCAACCCTCGGTGCTGCGCCCGCCCCTTGCTCAGCCAGTGAGCGGGAACCGGTCTGTATGTGGGATCCGAACCCTCAGTGGGAGCGCTGCCGCATTCCCAAGCGGCGCACTGTAGCAGTGCACCACCGGGCCGGCCCAAGAATCTTAATAGAGATAATTTTTGTAGAGTGAAAGAATCACTTGAGTCTCACCTGACAAGGGATGGTTTTTCTGTAAGTGCAAAAGGTTTGCAGTGGGAAACAGATCTAAGTCTTGGGGGTTCAGTATCTTAACTAATAAGGACTTTTTTTTTAATTGAAATATTTGAATATATTTGAATAATTCACTTAGATTTTTTTGTTTTAATTTTAATTGTAATATAGTTGGTTGTACATATATGTGGAGTACAGAGTTGAATTATATATTATTAACTAATAAGAACTTTATCTGGAATGTAAGTGACATATAAAAGTCTGGACCGATAGCTCTTAGAGTTTTTCTGGTAGAGGTGGAGGTGGCTGGAAAGTAAGAACATTTGGATTAATTGTAATTTGGACAAGTAGTTTTTCAAAGTGTGTTTTTGACTTATTTATAGGTCATTAAACCAATAAGGTAGTCAAAAAACATTTTTAAAAATTAAAATGAAGCAAAACTATCAGAATGCACTATCTGTAATAAGAGTAAGTCTTATTTTGTAAAACTTGTTTACACTTTTGATACATTCATATGTATACATATACATGAGCTGGGTTACAATGTAAGATGTGTTTCCTGCTGTGGGGTCAATAGTCAATGATTGTTTCACTCCCTCTGAAATTGGATAGAACTGCTGGGTTCAAGTCTGGGCTCTGCTGCTTTCCACTTGTGTGACCTTTGGCAAATTGCTTAAACCACTCGTTTTTTCTCATCCGTAACACGGATATTTATAGTTTCTTTCCTGTAGAGCTTTTAAGTGGATTAAATTAGTTAATCCAGGGCCAGCCCGGTGGCGCACTGCTACAGTGCGCCGCTTGGGAGCGCGGTGGCAGAAAAGTAAAAAGACAAAAAAAGGGAAAAAAAAAAGAAGTTCTTCTTATTTTTTTTTGTCTTTTTTACTGACCGGCAACGGGATCACAACCCTCGGTGTTGCGCCCGCACCGCGCTCAGCCAGTGAGCGGGAACCGGTCTCCACATGGGACCCTAACCCTCGGCGGGAGCGCCGCCGCGCTCCCAAGCGGCGCACTCTCCAGTGCGCCACCGGGCCAGCCCTGAAGACTTGTTTTTAACACTCCACAATAATCTAAAGTCCTTTGTTATATTAACTTCTAAAATGGTCCCGGTCCAGTACGGGCGCGACACTGAGGGTTGCGGTCCATTGCCGGACACGAAAAAAGACAAAAAGGAAAAATAAATAAATAAATAAATAAAATAAATTAGTTAATCCATGTAAAACACTTGGAACAGTGCCTGTCACAGAGTAGGAGACACTTAAATATAAACTGTTATAATTTATGGAAGACTCAAGCGAAAAGAGAAATAACAATAAGACACATACTATAGGCCAAGCACTCTGTTCTGCTTTTTATATAAATTACGTCATTTAATTCCTACCACAACAGAGTAGGACTACTATATCCATTTTACTGGTAAGTAAATTAAGACTCAGGGATGATAAGTACCTTGCACAGTTACACAACTGGGAACAGGTAGAGAAAGGATTTATACAGAATAGTTCTGATTCCACATTCCACTGTAGCCATACTGTCTTAGAGATATTTAACCAGACTGACATGAGTTCAAAGCAGCAGCACAGCTTGGTGGGTCTGAGAACTAGAATTAGACCTATTCATCCAACAATAATTGTTGAATGTCTTTCTTGTGTTAGAAGCTGTTCTAGGTCACAGTCCCCATGGAGTTTATATCCCGCTGGGAGAAAAAAGACTATAAACAAGTAATCTAACAGACTCATCTCAGCTAGTTGCCAAGACAAGATGAAATGATATAAACTATGGTAGAGGGAAGGCCTTTCTAAAAAAGATCTTTTGAAGAAAGACCAGATTGTTCGAAGGAGCCAGCCTGTGAAGGGCTGAGGAGATAGGCCAAAGTCCTGAGGCAGGAATGAGCTCTGGAATTTCAAGGAATAGGAAAAAGCTGGTGAGGCTGGAGCAGAGCAAATGAGAGTGGCTTTGGAGTTGCAAGGCAGGCAATAATGAGACCATGTAGATAGAGCCTTGTAAGGTGTGGTAAAGAGTTTAAATTCTATTATAAGAATAACATGCAGAGAGTTCTACTAATGTGAGTGACAAGATCTGATTTATATTTTTAAAGGATTACTCTGGCTGCTGTGTATAGAATTGTGGGGAGGCAAGAGAAGAATCAGAGAGACTAGTTAGAAGGTTGGCACAGGAGTCCAGGTGAGAAGTGACAGTAGCTTAGTCTGCACTGGTGGCAGTGGGAGTGGAAAAGCAGATGAATTCAGAATATATTTTGGAAGTGTAATGGACAGAAGTTGCTGAGGGATTAGCTGTGGAGAATGAAAAAGAATCAAAAATGACACTTAGGTGTTTTTTGGCTTGTGCAACTCTGTAGTTGACAGAGGTGCCATTGCCTGAGATAGTGTAGACTTAAGGATGGAATAACATGGAGAAAAAAAAATCAAGATTCTGTTTTAGACTGGCTAAATTTGAAATTCCACCAGCACATTAACCTCTG